TATGATGTAAATATCAGAATATGACAGGTTTTGTGAATACTGTTTCAGTTCTGTTGCTACAATATCATATGCATATGATGTAAATATCAGAAGATAACAGGTAGTATAAACACTGTTTCAGTTCTGTTGCTACAATATCATATACATATGATGTAAATATCAGAAGATAACAGGTTGTATAAACACTGTTTCAGTTATGTTGCTACAATAATTCTATATATTTGATTATAATTACAGAATATATGTTTTTTTATTATAAGGTTGTATGTAAACTGTAGGACATATTTTCGTTATTGTAAGGTTGTATAAATACTATTGTATGTCTATTGCTACATTAATCATATACATGATACAGTTATCGCAGTATATATATATATTTATGTTGTTAGGTTATATGAATACTATTTTAGTTCCATTGCTACAATAATCCTATATTTGATTATAATGACAGAATATATTTGTTTTATTATAAGGTTTTATGAATACTGTTTAAGTTCCGTTGCTAGAATAATCGTTGACATAAAGTATTACATACAATAAACACATGGTTCATCATAACGTGCTTTGAAACTGCTCAATTTGTATTGCCAGAATAATTATGTTAATAAGACAATAATTACAGACAAAATTGTCTTTACTACGAGGTTATACGACTTGTGTTTCATTTGTATTTCTACCATGGTCATGCACATAAGACAATAATTACAGAACACATTTTCTTCATTGCAAATATAAAGTTGTATGAGGACTGCTCATTTCTTTTGCTACAATGATCCTGTACATTAGGTATTAACTTATAAGGTTGTATGAAAAGCGGTTCTAGTTGTATGGCTAAAACAATCATGTATATAAGATAGCTCAATAATTTCAGAGGATATTTTCTTTAGTGCAAGGTTGTTTGAAAACGTTTGCTGTTCTGTTCTGCATTAATCATATACATAGGATATTAATTGTAGCAACTATATTTTATTAGTTGTATGAATTCGGTTACATTTATATTGCTACAATGATAATGCACATGGCGTAATAAATACAATGGATATATGGTGCATCATAAGGTGCTTTGAAAACAGTTCAATTTGTATTGCTATAATAATGATGTAAATAAGACAATTATTACAGACCAAACTCTTTTTACTATGAGACCTTATGACTAGTGATTCATCTGTATTGCTACAATGGTCATGTACATAAGATAATGTCTACATAACATATTTTCTTCATTTTCATTACAAATATAAGGTTGTATGAGAACTGCTCATTTCTTTTACTACAATACTCCTGTACACTAGGTAATAACTGAAATGATTATGCATTATTTTAAGATTGTGTGAAAACGGTTTTAGATGTATGGCTACAACAATCATGTATATAAGGTAGCTTGATAACTTCATAGGATATTTTCTTTATTGTAAGGTTGTTTGAAGACTTTTGCTGTTCTGTTACCACAATAATTGTATACTTACAATGATAATTACAGAGAATATCTTTTTAGTTATATGAATACTCGTTCAGTTCTAGTGCTTCAATAGTTATATTTATTTTGATATTAATTACAGAATAATTTTCTGTTTGTATGAATACTGTTTCAGTTTTATTGCTGCAATGATAATGCACATGAAGTAATGCATACAATCAATATATGGTTCATCATAAGGTGGTTTGAAAACTGTTTAATTTGTATTGTAATACAGACCAAATTGTCGTTACTATTCAGCTATATGAATGCTATAATATAATAATAATTACAGAAGACATTTTCTTAGTTGTATGAATAATGTTTCAGTTCTATTGCTACAATGACAATACACATAAGGTAATAAAAACAATAAAGATTTGGTTCATCATGAGGTGCTTTAAAAACTGTTAAATTTGTATTGCTATAGTAATCATGTAAATAAGACATTACTTACAGACCAAACTGTCTTTACTATACGGCTATATAAATAGTGTTCCATTTGTATTGCTACAATGGTCATGTATTAAAGACAATAACTACAGAAGACATTTTCTTCATGGCAAGGTTTTGTGAAGAGTGTTCATGTGTTTTACTGCCGGTAAGAAAACGGTTCTGGTTTTATGGCTACAACAATCATGTAGATAGCTTAATTGCAAGGTTGTTTGAAAGTTGTTACAGTTTTATAATCATTTATATTAGGTAATACATGCAGTACATATTAACTTTTTACTATCACAACTATAAGGTTTGTATGAACACTTAGTTGTATTACCACAACGATCATGTACATAAAACAACAAAAAACAGCGGATATTTTTGTTATTGTAAGTTTGCATGACATCTGTTTCTGTCGTATCGCTATAAGTCATCTGAATAAGAGTTACTGTTAAGTTTTGTGGCATAGGTTATCTTTGATTTGTGAGTTTTTAAAATTCATTTTATGTAAGCTGTAGAGTATCATTGGAGCAATGTTACTTTAAGATGACTGTTCATAAAGATGCTATCTTATTTCATATAGGACAAAGTAACTTCAGTCGTTTAACTAGGTGTTGCTTTCCTATACAGCCACATGTGTGTGCAGTGTTTTTTAAAACTGTTAACAGTAAATAAATTGCGTTTCAAAATGATCATGAAGTGCCTCAAAAAGTAAAAAATCTTATAGTAACCAGTTTTACCATACTCATTTCCAGGCGCGCACGCAGGGGGTGGGGGGGGGGGGGGTGATTTTTGGGGTTAACCCCCCCTCAATTTCTTTTGAAAAAAAAGGAATACTCCTTACCCCTTACTTCCACCTTCCCCCCCCCCCCCTCCAACAGAGCGAAATATCGGTCGGCGCAATTTTCACATTTCCAAACACCCTCCTTGAAAAAATCCTGCGTACGCCACTCCTCACCCCCTCCCCAATAGACTGTAGCGTTATGCAAACCATAAGGAAAACTTAAAATATGATTTTGATTTCTAATCATCAATATCTTGATAATTAGACAGGCGATCGGCTTGTAAAAGTCACGGGGTTCCTGACTGACCTAAATGTTTATAATTATTATTGTAGCATGAGCTAAATCCAGAATTTTGTTTCAGAATCTGAGACAAAGTTACCCAATCCCTTGAAGGAAAGAAAACACACGTTCAGTCAAGTACGGAATATCTCTCTTCTAAAGCATACAGGCTATCCTATGACCCATGCGTAAGAAAGAAATCCGTTTATGAGTTTTGCTGTAGCTGGGACTTCCCACTAAAACCAAAGTCCCAACGTTTGTTGTTCCTTTCCGTCCGAGGAGCGGATCGTTTTGATCCCTTCTTGGATTTATATTTTATTCAATTCTATCTCTATCCTTGTTTTCTCCATTGGATGTTTAACTATGCATCGTGGTAAATATGAATATATATTGACACATTAATGTGTACCTCAAAGCAACGAAGCAGGTTACCGTTCTCATAAAAGCCTTCCAGGCGACCAGGGCCCTGTCTTACAAAGAGTTGATATCAATCGCAACTTATTTGCCATTGATATCAATCGCAACTATGTACATAAGAGATAGGAGACTGCAAACTTGCGATTGATTGGAGGACTTGCGATTGATTTGGATCAATCGCAACTCTTTGTAAGACAGGGCCCTGGGCTGTAACTGAGAATCAATGTCTAACCCAAGGTCACTGCACCACGTTGCCTCCTTTCCATACGGTACTTCCATAAAGAAAACGTAATTGCACCCTCCATGGTCTGCAATGCAACGAATACATACTGATAACTGGAAATTATTTACCATCATAATCTTCACCTCCATTACCGTGGTCACCATACTCATACTGGACACATCATCGTAGTCGTCGTCGTCGTCGTTGATATCATAATTAAGATTATCTTCACTAGGATTGTTGTCCTCACCTTCACTGCATTATCATTACCACACATAGTTCATCAGAGTTAATATTTGCTTTTTGTATAAGTAATTCAACTATGAAAGAAATAATCAGCGTCCTCCACGCAAAGTTAGTATTTTAATTATTTTGTAGTATAATAGAAACGTCAGTAGGAGGCATATGTATGCTTCTTTATTACAAATTGTGTCAAAGACCCGTCTAAAACAGGGACTCATTTTAACCTTCTTTGGGCAAGACTATTTCTCTGATTGAAATGTTGTATGTAGTTTCATGTAAATGTCTCCGTGGAAAAAAACGAAAAGGACAACATTTTCCACCCTTTATTTTAGAAGGAAATGGAAGGGGGATGAAATGCAATCGTTTTAAATTGAATGAAATGTTGATAATTTTTGATTGTTGGTGAAAAAGAAGAAAAAAGAGAAGAAGAGAAGCTTACCAATGGAATATGAAAGACTGATACTTGAATTACGTTGAATATTTGCGTTACGATTTAGTTCACCGCACAGGACTTTGGAACTGATTGAAAACGACACAATTGACAATTGCTCATTGCGATTAGCAGTTTGTAAAAATGAAAATCAGTGTAGTGTATACTTGTGCTGGTAACATGCAACATGTAATCGGACTGCTTATTACAAATGGTCTAGATTCTAAATCGTAACATTTCAAAGTCGAGCATAGTGAGAGAAGGAGTCGATTGCAAGAAACTGTGATACCCGGTGCTACTTCAAGTATGGAGAAAATAAATCAACAGCTTCACGAGGCAGCGTCGAGTGGTAAAATCAAAATTGTCGAAAATTTGCTAAAACAGGGTTCTAACATAAACCAGACAGACCAAGAAGGAAACACACCCTTACACACGGCTGTCCTGTATGGCCAGGAGACTGTCATCGAGTATCTCATAAATCATGGAGCTGATGTGGAGAAGGCGACTCCAAATGGACGAACACCCTTACATCTTGCTGCATCTCTCGGACATGTTCAAGCAATAGCATGTATACTAAGTCATGGAGCTAATATGGAAAAAGAAGACAAGGACGGCTGCTCTGCATTATACAGTGCTGTAAGGAATGGTCATCTTGATGTGGTACGATACTTTATCAGTCAGGGGGCAAAAGTGTTTCAGGGCAATACTAAAGGGTGGACTCCTTTATACATGGCAGCAGCGTGTGGTAAACTTGAAGTAGTGAAATACCTCATCAGCGAAGGGGCTGAGGTGAATAGGAGAAATAATGAGGGTAGTACTGCGTTACACAGTGCTGCTCAGGAGGGATATTGTGATGTCATCGAATATCTCATCAGTCAAGGAGCTGAGGTGAATAAGGGAAATAATGAGGGCAGGACTGCATTGCAACTTGCTGCTCAGGAGGGACATTGTGATGTCATCGAATATCTCATCAGTCAAGGAGCTGATGTGAATAAGGGAGATAATGAGGGTAGGACTGCATTACAAATTGGTGCTTTCAATGGTCACCTTGGTGTCGCCAAATATGTGGTCGGTCAAGGAGCTGAGGTGAATAAGGGAAATAATGAGGGCAGGACTGCATTGCAACTCGCTGCTCAGGAGGGACATTGTGATGTCATCGAATATCTCATCAGTCAAGGAGCTGATGTGAATAAGGGAGATAATGAGGGTAGGACTGCATTACAAATTGGTGCTTTCAATGGTCACCTTGGTGTCACCAAATATGTGATCAGTCAAGGAGCTGAGGTGAATAAGGGAAATAATGAGGGTAGAACTGCATTGCAACTTGCTGCTCAGGAGGGACATTGTGATGTCATCGAATATCTCATCAGTCAAGGAGCTGATGTGAATAAGGGAGATAATGAGGGTAGGACTGCATTACAAATTGGTGCTTTCAATGGTCACCTTGGTGTCACCAAATATGTGATCAGTCAAGGAGCTGAAGTGACTAAGGGAAATGATGAGGGTAGGACTGCATTGCAACTTGCTGCTCAGGAGGGACATTGTGATGTCATGGAATATCTCATCAGTCAAGGAGCTGAGGAAACTGAGGGAGATAATAAGGGTAGGACTGCATTACAAAGTGCTGCAAAGAAGGATAACCTTGACTTGTATGAATTATATGATTGGTTATTCTTATCAAATGTAGAAACAAACAAAAATCTTAAAGGGAGTGTGTCATGACGAGACTATGTGTCTTTCCCGTGGCCCTACCCGGGGCCAATCGGATACAACTACGCTCGACGCGACCGGAGCATTCGCGTGTGTGCAACATATGCGAAACCGAAGCGTGAGGAGAACCTCGGTCTGTTTCGCCAACGCTAGCGCGCACCGACCCAGTTTAGCGCGCGCTGACCCAGTTAATCAAGTCCATTCGTTTACGTGCAGTTGTCCAAAAGAAGACGTAGACGGCGTTAACTAGTATTTGCCATGATACACTCCCTTTAACTAAACTTTTTGTCAATGGAATCATACGATTGAAGTGTTTAGTGGTTATAACATTTGTTTTGAAGCTTCCGCTTAACCATTAGGGCTAATAATGTCATTTATAGCAGTCATTTGTATGTGTCAAACACTTGTATCACGAGATAAGACGAGATAAGGCAGAGACATCTCTGGACTTAATAATACGTAGGATATAGGGCATAGGACAAAACTTCTGTAGTACACAAACAACCTCAAACTAAAGCCTCATCAGTCATGACTGCTATGACTGTAATGATACATATGCTGTTTAATATTCAAATATTTTTCTCTCAGATGAAAGCTTGCGTATGATTTATCCGGCGACTCCTGAGAAAAGAGCCAAACCAAGCGAGCCTAGAGAACCTGAAGATATGGATATCATCACAACATCGGATACAGGTAGATGACAGAATAATAACATCATATGGACAATGATAGCATTATATACATAGGTGATACGTATGCTAATGTTTTACATAATGAAGAACGCATTTTACGATTTCATATTTTCTTTTAAAATGCTCCTCCTATTAATAGTCTATCCATATGTCGAGTTTCAACTGTCAACCATATTGATAATTATGGAACTATGAAAGATAGCTCGAGACAATATGACCATCGACCCTGTATAATAACTATTTACACCTTTGACACTAATTTTCACAATTTCATCTTATTTCATGAAATACTCTACCCGTCATGTTCTACATATATTGTGCTGCGCAAAGTTTATTTTTGGCCATTACAAGAAGTGGGTTATTGATGTAGACATATATATATATTTTATTACCAGAGATATATAGAAGTCAGTCAGTCCCTCAATAATTTTGGACAGTAAAGTCTAGAAAGTAAACGGGTTTCTTTGCATAATTTGAATACTAGGACACTGCTAACGTTTACATTTCACAGATAGGACATAATTATGTAACGTACTCATAATTCCTGCAAAGTTCTACAGAATTTGCAATTTCAACTTGTAACTGTAAATTGCGACATAATTAGAAATCTGATCAAAAAGCAAATGACACGTTTCCTATAGCCCATTGTCTGAGCTATAACCTTTCAAAATGTGGGAGAAAATAGAACAAAATTAAGCGAGATACTGCTCCAAGAACAATGCCATGTAGATTCATGATGTAAACGAAATTCACCTTAAATAGGCATAATACGCAAATTAAAACATTCTGACATGTTACCTTTCATTGCAATTTTCACTATAATGACGTCATCAGAATTTAGAGATTAGAAAATTGATGCACTTCTTAGATGATTTTTCATCGTTTGATTTTGATGTAGGGCTAGATGAAATTAATGACGACCTTGACCAATGTGGGGGTACACCAAACACAGAAGAGCTTTGCAGCGTCGCTCTATCAGTGACAAGTCTGCCATTAGCATGTTCACTTGGGAAAGCTCTTCGTCTAAATGATGACCTCATTGTTGGATTTATCGATCTACCAAGTTCATCAGTACTCCATGAGATCGCACGACATCTCATAGACAGTTGGTGGAATGGTTTGAAAGAGGAAGAAAAGGAAGAAAAGTTTGCTAAGCTTCTCTCGGAGTTTAACATCCCAGATGTCAAAACAGGTTCGTTGGAATCACAAGGCTGAGTTAGATCGTAACCGTGTTGACAAGGAGATATCATTTTTACCCTTTAAAGAAAAGGTTCAACTTCACAATTTCGATTTATTTCTTTTTCACATTCCATTTATTAGGTGATCCGTCACGTAGCGACAAGTTTCTTCTATCTTCTTTAATGTTATTTATCTATTTATTTGTTATTCTCTCATGTTAATTTGTTCCGTAATTATACTAATAGTGGAAAGGGCTAAATTAAAGGAATTCCATAACATGATCTGTCAAGTCAATGTCCAGAACATAACGTCGAGATTTTTCCGAAAAAGTGGTCACGTGTCCTTCCAGGCGCCATTATGTTGTTTTTCATGCATTTCTTTCGACCACCATATCTCAACAACAGAATGTCGTACAGACTTCTAACGAAGACCATTATTTAGTGCATGAGTTGCCCTAGATTTTGTATGTGGACGTAAACTCGATGTGACGTCATCTTCATTACGTAATCACGTGTCCAATATTGTTAAAAGTGAAAATGACCTTGAAAAATTTCAATCTTTAATATTAAACTTTTTTAATTGATTATAATCTTGACATGAAATTTATATCACTAATATTTCTTAACATGGCGAATAATCTGATCCCCCAAAACAAACTTCAATATTGCTTAAATTTTCAATTCAATTTATTTGCGTTAAATTAATAGGATGTACAGAAGTACAGAAGATTTTTCAGTAGGTAATTATTTGTTTTAACATGTATCTACTCATCAGAGACATTTTGGCGGGCTTCCGTTGTCCTTTAATTCATCAAAGTTCATATGGCTCCGAATAGTCTCTTACGGAGGACATACTGTGTATGATCGAATCTCTTTGATAGTCTCATTGGACAACGCCCCCTATCGTCAGACTCCAGCAGCCTAACATGATAGCCTATGGACTTTTAACCCCCCCCAAAAAAAACAAAAAAAATCGTAAACAATTCATTTTTTGTTTAAACGAAAAGCACAATCACCCCGAAGTACGTTGACACTAGCTCTTTCATTGGAACCCTCATGTCCCATTGACTTTTGAAAGTTCACCCACCGTTATTTGGTCTAAATAGGTCGCTAGCTCGCTATTGTCTATATAACACATGTGAAACAAGTCGAAATTTGGACGCGATTTGCCACGCGATTGTAAGGTTATAGGTCAAGCACACGAAGGATAGCAAGCATGAATTATCATAGATCAGTTCTGAATGGTTCATTATGTCCATTTCAGCCAACCCCCCACCGTAATTTTTCCATTTAGTATAGGCAAGCATTCTGTCGAGGTAAGCAAAAACATGAATATTCATGATCGCCATGGACTATTCGATTATTTACAGAGGGGTGCAATTGTGCACCACATCAAACTCCCCCACTTTAATTTAAGTATTTCATTGTATTATGTAGTTTGGTAGGTTTATTTTACTAACTGTTTAATTATCAGATATCAATGATAGTTTAAAGATATGGAAAAGGTTCTCCTATTTTATATTTAGCAAAGCAATCTCAAATACAAAATCACTATCAAGTGTCGTCTGATCCGCCGATTGCCGTCTGCTATATACGTTCAAGGCACTGTGGACTAGATGTAAATCGACAGTTTACTCGTCATTGTAGATTGATGATTAGCCATCTGTCATTATGAGTCTTTAATTGTTGACACACATACAATTACCACACACACGAACACTCTCACTTCCCCTCCCCAACACACCATTTCCGCACACCCGGTTCACCCAATGGCATACACCCGGCAACGTAGTGCAACATTCTAGTTTGGGAGTGCCGTCTAACTAGCTACGTTTATGGTCCAGCGAGCGGAAATGAGACAACCGGAGCAATATATTACTTTATTTTTCTTCATTATTTCTGACGCCGTCAATGTCCTCATTCACCACCATTATTATGTTATGTCCATTAACGTGGATATTTTCCTTCACGTTGACACATGCATTTTTTCAGTGTCCACAGGCCGTGAGGAAATATCAAGGTCTATTGGATCGAAGACAGACCTACTGGACTTGTGTCATCGCCTGAGTCTTAAACCTTCTGGTGTCTTGCAGATCATGAGCAAATTTGTGACCTTCCCGGCTCACAAGATTGGCCGTAGTACTCTTAAGATGCTTAAAGAGTGGGTACATAAAGGTGGGAATAGGGAGCGGCTTCTGGAAGTTGCTCAGGCTTTCCGTTTCAACGATGCAGCAGTCAAGATAGCAGAAGGTAATGCTAACTCCACTGTTTTTCACATTACATTAAATGATGGAGTCCTGCTTGATCAGTGGAACAAAAAAAATTGACAGATTCATTATGTTTACTAACAATTGCCCGACTATCAAAGTTACCCACATTCCCCATTCAGAGAAAAGTCATAAAATCGGCAGGAGTCTGTGTACTTTTAACCTCTATTAAGAAGGAGTAATCATGAGCCGTGTTGCTATAGGTGAGGAAACACGCATACCAGATTTCTTTCGGACCTAAGAAGCATGGTATACCATTAATTTTCAAGTTTTAATTTAGCAGGAACATTTCAGATATTTTCCAAATGCTTTCTATCTTTAAAACATTGACCATACTCTACTCAATTTATTTTTTAAAGTTTTACTCGAATCAAATCCTGAATCCAAATGATTGTAACATTTGTATTCAAACCCGTCCAAACATGCATTATTAAACGCTTGTTTCCTAATCGATTTACACTAAAAACACTCAAAAGGGCCTGCTTTCAAAATAACTATGAACAAAAATGGATGCATCTTGACATCTTTTGTAGATAAACTGCAGTTTATTTGTTTAATGTCTCATATGTGATTATCGATAACTTGTTTTCTTCTGATCCGCTTTAGCCATGAAATGCCAACCAAGCTATATGCCTTTCATCTCGCATGGCATCATTGATCACAAGGGTGGGGAACTGACCCTTGGTGAACTTGGTATTACCGTATCTATCCCTGAAGGAGCTATACCAAAAGGGTTGAGATCAGTTCTAACTCTTCGCGTTCCAACTAATGAACAACCTAGGGTTCCTGTACGGGTGGGTGAGGTAGTCATTACTCCAGTCATAGAATGTTCTCTCACACAAGAACTGCTCAAGCCTGCCACGGTGGTACTACCACACTGTACCAATGACCATGAACTTACAGACGAATCGTCTGTCATCTTGTACACAAAAACTGCACCAGGTACAAAGTTATCGAAATGTTTTGATTCTGTTCTCTTGGAATAAAAAGTAAACATCATCACTTGACATTTGAATCCTAATAATTTGACAGATGAGGTGAACACCCGATCTCTCATCATAGATATAATAATCTTTCCGTCATGAGAATCAATATTAAAAATGATGAACTGATGAAAGTTTATATTGAATGATTTCTAAATAACAAAGAAAAGTACCATTATGCTATTTGAGTCAACTCGCTCAACAAAACTTGATTCTAGTGAAGTAACAAATGCCAATCGAAATCAATTCCTACTCTATACTATAATCAATATTGTACGGGACTATGTTATTACGGAGTAAGATAGTATAATCAATATTTTTCTGTATTTTCTTTAATTAAAAGGAACGTTCGGTCGTAGAAACCTGACTCCGCACACATCACAAATCTTAAAAGATAAGATCAAGTTTTGTACACGTCATCTTCAAGTCTGGGCTTTGTCATCGACTGATCTTCAAGGAATCCAGCTGACATGTGTAGTCTTCCAGCCTTTGTTCATGACTCCTGTAGAGAAAGTATCTCTACGTGTGTACATACTTCATCCATATAGGAACTATATAAAGGTGCTTATATCATATTATCTATGTCCATCTTTTGCCGTCAACATTCGATCTAATCTAATTATGAAAAGATGCCCCCAGCGGAATCTATAAGTTATGAAGGCCAATTAATAGCGGCCTGGTGTCCAGCGCAAAGCCCAAATGTACGAGTTTATCTCCTCTGTACATGGTCCAAAGACGGCAGAGCGGCATTGGCGTGGTCCTGTAGAGGCTTGGTTCTCCCTTGTGGCTTATTAACAAATACCCATTAGCCTGACACGTTTTCACCAAGCTCAAACCACGCCCTGTACTAGCTCAATCTTACTCAGTCATTACGCTACACAGACTTAGACCCCGTTTACAGTGAGAAAATTGCGGGGCCGGGCCAGGCCGCGCAATTGGCCGCGCATTTGGTGCGTTAACAATGAAAAAAAGGCGGGGCCAGGCCGCGGCCTGGCCTCGCGTGCGTTTACAGTGAGAAATTGCGGGGCCAGGCCGCGGCCGAGACTACCTCCAGAGCAGGGCCAAATGCGCGGCCAGTTTGGCCTCGCATTTGGCCTTTTGCCCTGTTACAGTGCGAGGCCAGGCCGCGGCCTGGCCTGGCCTTTTGCTCACTGTAACAGGGGTCTTATAGCGCTCTGCCTACGTGGTGCGAACCTTGCCTTCAACTCACATAGCAACAATAGGCAACTACATATGCTTGAACGCATCGCATTCCTTTCCCTAAACACCTGATTGCAGTTCACTGGCCTCTATAGCTTGCGCATTTTGACAGGATGGATGAGCTAAATAGAGGAAGGAGAGGGGAAGGGATGAGATGGGAATAGAGCACAGATAGAATAGTTTGTAGAGGATGGGGGCAGAGTAAAGGGAAGGTAGAGAACAAAAGGGGAAGGGGAGTAAAGGCGAGAAGAGGGCGGGGAACTTTACTCTGGTATAGGTATTCTTGCGAAAATGCACTGTATAAGTTTGTAGTACTCTGTTTCTTTACAAGAATATTGCTTGGATACAGATAAAGGCCATTTTTATATCACTAGCCCAGAAATTAAATTATTACATACTGCCTACTTAAATCGAAAACATCTGTTTGTCTTGAAATATGGGATGAAATAATAAAAAAAACGTAGTCTAGTGTACAGTCTACTAAAGTAATAAATATTGCGTAAATATTCATAATTGACTGATACACGCCTAACCTTAAAAAAATTTAAAAAAATTTAAAAAAACATGGCGTAAATATTCATAATTTA